CGCTGTAGCAATTGCCACTAGATCCACTTGCTACCTATGAGAGTAGGAGAAAGAAGTTGGAATAGTAGTAATTTGAAGTTTTCTCGGGTTAAAGGATCAAGTGAGGATGGGTACGTTTGAATATATCTCCCGATCGAGTGAGCTTTGTTTTTTTTTTTTTTGTCTGTATTTCTTTATTTCTTCTTTGATTAGTTTGTGAAGAAGTTGAATATTGATATTTTTAAGTTTTCTTGGATTAAAATTTGAATATTTTGAGTTTTTTTTTTTTTACTTTGATGGGTGTGTTTGCATATATCTCCCGATCAAGTGAGTTCTTCTCCTTTTTTTTCTTCGTCTGAATTTCTTTATTTCTTCCACTGGGTTTATTTTGATAAGTTTGCATTGTTTTGATATAGATATTTGTTTAGGTCGAGGAAGTTGGTATATTGATATTATTAAGTTTTCTTGGGTTAAAGTTTGAATATTTTGGATTCTTTTATGGGTATGTTTGAATATATCTCCTGTCGAGTGAGTTTTAGCACTTTTTTTCCCTCTGTTGAGATTTATTTGATTAGCTTGTACTGTTTTGATGTAGATATTCGTTTAGATTGAAGAAGTTTGGAATATTAATATTTTTAAGTTTTATCAGGTTAAAGTTTGAATATTTTGAAATTTTTACTTTGATAGGTATGTTTAATTTTCATATTAATGCTTTATTTGATTATTTTCTCGGGTCTTTGGCATATTTGCTTTTGTGATGTTGATTGTTTTCTATGTATAGATGTGATTTTAAGTTCCGCGGTGCTCAAACATTTAGAAGAAAACCTAACTGTGGAAGGAAGAAATCATAAAGTCTTTATCCTGCTTAAAGATTTGTTGGTTTTAGGATTCCCTCTCTCTAATAGTTGGATGGTCCAAATTAGTACTACAGTCCAAGAACATTAATGGCTTGCTGGCCTATGAATATGCAGTGAATTTTTAAGAAAAGTTTTCTTAGTAAAACGGGCTAGCACTGCGCTCCTCCATGATAATTCTTCACACCCCTCAATATTCTCAAGAAGTGACAACCATCTAACATGCACCAAATTCTTGCTTGAATCCAAAAATTGAATAGTGTCGATCATATTCATTATGTACGATGTAATTTATCTCATCTAAATTTATTTATTGTTATTCTATTTGAAACAAGGCTTATTATTTAGTATTAATGCACTCTATATGTAGCTTAAAATGGTCATTAGACTTTATAAATATGATCATGGTGAGCATTGATAAATTTTAGCCTATGATTAGTGTTGGAAGTTGAAATATGAGGTTAATGTTGTCGTTTGAGTTAGAAACTGGGAAGCAAAAATGAGTATCAAAGATAATTTTGTTGATATCATTGGAGATGGAAATTTTACGAGTATTGATCAAATATCAAGAAAAAAGTAAAGTTGAAGAGAAGAATATTAATATTGGAAAAACATGTCAAGGGTCATGGTTGCAAACAATGTGAGAGACCAAAGTGATAATTTCTTATGTAAGTTTATAATTATTGTTACATTAGAAGTCGACTTCATGAATGATTTAAAACCATGACATATCTGAGATGAGGTTCACACTCTCGTACTGCAGTCTATCATGAATATTTCATCGACCTTTAATATTTGCGAACTTGTTTGCTTGAGAATAACTACGTAGAATGTTTATTTGTAGCTTGGTAAAAAAATTTGAAAATCTTAATCAAATGGACTTTATCTGAATTAACAAAATTAAATCTTAAACAACTTGGTTGAAAATCTTGAAGCTCTAAATGAACTGGACTTTAATTGAAATTTTATTTTAACAAAATTACAATTCAATTTCATTTATGAATATTATTAGCTCGACTTTTACTAATCTAAGTGAGTTTCTGATCTTATTTTTTTCTAGGATGGCAACTTCACTAGAAAGAGACAAGTCATTAAACCGTCACTTTTATTTTCCGCCATTCACATTGCTTTTGATACCTACATTATTTGGAATTTTATTACCTTGATTTTAATAAATTTATTTTTCTAATTTGGTATCAGTTAAGAGAATTTATTCTAAATAAACCCATGATAATTTCTATTTTTCCTCTTTTTTGCATCTCATCCATAATTGGAAAGTTGCTTCTATTCATAGTGTTTTTTATTCCTTAGCAGACTTACTAAATAACTTCTCCCATTTATTCAATTTATTTATGAATTATTTTTATTCTACATATTTTTTGTTTGTATTCCATATTTACTTGCCCTAAAAAATTTCTTCTTTTTTTTATTTTTTTGAAGGTCTAGAGTCAATGTAAAATGCTCGGGGTTTCCTATATATATTCTTCCTCTTCTTCTTAACAAGATACTTAAAGCAAAATTTTAGTATTTTGTTGGAAATTATATGTTAAATTGTTCAAACTTTCAATAACGTATTATTAAATTTTCTTAAATTTGATTATAAGTAATCATCTAGAGCTTATCAAATGAGACTTCATAAAAAAGGATTCAGTTTAGCTAAAATTTGTATCTAATATTATAAAATTGTTTTAAAATCTCTATGGTAAATATTACTCATGACCCTTTTTATATGCACTTTCTTTTGCCTTGGCACTAATGTGTGTTTGATCGGTAAGAGTATTGCTACAAGGAATTTATTTCTCTCGAAGTTTGAAAACTTCCCTAAAGAAGTCAAAAGCATTTATACCTTATGTTTTTTAGGGGCATTTCGCTTTTCATGGATAATGGGTTGTCGATTAGCATAAAAAGTGTGATGTAAGAGTTTGTGTTGGTTTTTGGTTAGAAATGTTTTACCCATAATAAAGTCATATTAGTTTTTTGTAGTAGTAATAAGTAAGATCTTGATATATAATTTTATTATTTGTATCATGTTTTTTATTTATGAAACCTTGCCTTGGGAAAATTTTAACGTGGGGATCAGCTATTCTCCTTTGCTGGTTTCACTTGAATTTTGTCAAGTATGATTAAATATGGATTTCCTATCGCATTGTGTATTTATTTTATGGCATGTCATGTGAAAAAACTACAAGTTGGAATTTTTTAATATGTCTCTAAGATCAAAGTTCTAATATTTATAATAAAATAACTAAAGCCAATGCAACAGAAATGTTGATACTAGTCTAGAAAATGTTAAATCTATGGATATGACTAGAAAGAATGTATGCTACCATCATTAAGTAAAGGTGTAAGAAAATTAATCTTATTTAGTGCAATATATAGTATAGTAAACATGAACTATGTCACAAACAAGTTAATGTGCATATACCCAAAATAAACAATCAAAATATATTGACCACGTGCAATGCACGTGCATCTCACCTAGTATACCAACTGAAAGGTTACTAGCAACTAACCATTTGGTAGCGTCGTAGCCAGTAGCCCAAGAAATGAGACATTTAAGAGTTCTAAGTAAAGTTTGAGAAACTTTACTACTCATTTACCATGAAGCCTTGTTAGTCATCATGAATACAAGCAAAATTGACCCGCGCAATGCCGCGGTATCCTTGCGAAAAAACCAAACAATAACAATTTAAATATTTGGTTTAACAATATACTATACACGTGACCACCCTAACAAAAATATAGCAACTTAAAACAAAATATATCAACTTAAAACAAAAGATATCAACTTACATTGGTATCAAATAGCTAATATACAAAGCTGTTTTAAAAAAATTCTTTCAAGTATGTTGGATCTAAGGTGGTTTTACAAAGTGGTTGGGTCTAAAAGTAAATAGTGGTAAAACTTTTGATTTATAGGTAAAAACTCTTACGGGAGAGTGAGCGGGTTTCTAAATAAAAGGGGGATGGGGGATAAAACTTTAGATTTATAGGAGAAAAAACATCTACAGTCGGCGATGTCACCACATTAGCGTGAGAAAAGCCAAAGATATAATGGTTAAAATATTAGTTACATCGTACATCTAATCACTTCTAAAAAATTAGCAAGTTGTTGAAAATATAGCATCTTTCACTATATACTAAACTGGTGAATAAAAAATAAATTTAAAATTAATCCCATGAAGTATTATGGTGTGATAGTGATTTTCAAAGTGGGTGGACCTAAAAACAGATGTGGGAAAAAACCTTTGATTTAGTAGACAAAAAACCTTTTAGTAAATGAATGGGTTTATAAGTAAATTGAGTGAAAGTTTGGGCGGATTATTTTAGCTCTAAAGTGATTTAGTAGGTGAGTAACTTTAAAAATAAATGGGGACAACTTTGGGTTTATAGATAAAAACCTTTTTTAGGCTTCTCGGTATTAATTCCTTAAATTTCCTTAAATCTTTCATATTTTGAATTTAGTCCTTCAAATCAATAAAATTTCTAAATCTATCTTAGAATTAGTTCCTCAAATTATTGAATTGCTATTAACTTCCCTAATTCTCATAATTTTTTCAAATTAATCTCTTTTGTTCCTGCTTCGTTGATTAGAGGGACTAATTTCAAAATTACTTAAGAATTAAGCGACCTAATGACAACTTTAATGATTTGAAGGACCAATTTCTAAATAACATACGAATTGTTGGACCTAATCGCAATTTCAACAATTTGAGAGATTAATTTCAAAATATGAAAGATTTAAGGGGCTAGTATAGAAAAAAAAACTCTTTAAGTGGCAAGTTTTAAATGATCAAAGTAAAATTGTGGGTTCATATGTAAAAGAATAAAAAATACCTAATAGCAATTTCAATGATTTAAGGAATAATTTCAAAATATAAAAAATTTAAGGGACTAACATAGACAGAAAACTTTTTTAAATGGGTAGTTTTTAAAATAAAGGTGATAAACTTTTGGATTTATGTAAAAACAAATACATCTGTGCGAAATATCAGTGCCAAGGATCGAACCTGAGACCATTTACTTCCAAATAACTTAAGAATTAAGGGACCTAATGATAATTTTAATGATTTAAGGGACCGGTTTCTAGATAACTTAAGAATTGATGGACCTGATAGCAATTTCAATGATTTTAGAGATTAATTTCAAAATATGAAAGATTTAAGGGGTTAATATAGAAAGCAAAAACTTTTTAAGTGAATGGGTTTTAAATGGACACAAGTAAAATTGTGGGTTTATATGTAAAAGAACAAAAATTAGCTAATAGCAGTTTCAATGATTTGATAAGGGAATAAAACAGAACGAGAACTTTTTTAAGTGGTGGGTTTCAAAAGAAAGGGAGTAAAACTTTTGGATTTATATGTAAAAATACATATATTTGTGTAAAACATCAGCGGCGTGTGTCGAACCCGGGACCGTTTCCTTTGAAAGGAAAAGTCTTACCAATTAAGATAAAAACTATTCCTTCTCTAAGTTCACATAGTTTATAATTATATATAGGGTTTTTACATGAAAACCACCTTAATTTTTGTCCAAATTGATACTTACCATCTTTACTTTTTTATATCGAAACCACCTACATTACTACCATACTTGTCACACATTACTACCATGCTTGTCATGTCACACTTTTTGATACTTTCTGTTTCAGAAAAACCCTGAACTTCCTATTATACCCTTAACCCAAGAGGGGGAAGGAGAGGAAGGCACAGAGGAGGTTAGCGGAGATGGGGTCGGTGGCGCGAGAGAAGGGGAGGAAGTTGGCTGTGAGGGTGAAGAGGGAGGAAAAGGGGAGGAAGGAGGAGAAGAGGAAGGAGGTGAGGGAGGTGAGGATAGAGGAGGGGAGAAGTGGAGGGAGGTTGGGGAGGTGAGGAAGGGAGAATTCCATGGTTAGGGTCTGGAGAAACCCTAGAGGTAGAGGAGATGGTGCTGAACGGGACTGGTTGGGAATTAGTTTAGAGTTAGGGTTAGCAGAGGGAGAGGACGAGGAGGGAGAGAGGGGAGGGGAGGGAGGAGGTGAAGAGAGGAGAAGTTAGGGGTAAAACGGGCTGCTTAGGCCTTTTTTCAGCTGAATAGTGCAAAAAGTACGACATTGCAAACAAATTAGCAAACTGGTGGTTTCGATCAAACAAAAAAAAGTAAAGGTGGTAAGTATCAATTTGAACAAAAACGGTGATTTTCATGTAGAACCCTTATTAGTAAAGCTATTGGGTTTTGTATGTAGAATGAACAATACAAACACCTCTAGCTTTAGTATATAGATATAACTGATTCACCTCAGCTCCCAGTGCGTAAATAGTCTACATATAGTATAGCATTAACAGGGTTTTGCAGCACCAGAAAATCTTCCTATGTAGCACAAAAATTAATCATAAATATATCATTGTAACATTTATGGCACTTCTTCCCGTGTCACAGTAGTTTGTCTCACCAAGTCAGAAAAGCAAACGAATCACTATGAGAGAAATGAAGGCATCAAGCATGTGGCTGCTACCTGGACAGTGTTAACATGAAGTTTGGGCCCCATGAGAGTAAACTGAAGTGATGGAAGTTTTTGGCGCTTCCTACTCTGCGGACCAAGAGGGATCTCACCAAATACTGGGGCCCATTGACGAGGCAACTGGTACTCCAGAAAATGACGAAGTTCCTCGATCGGCGGCTTATCTGAATTATCAGTTGATTGAAGATAAAAGTCAGCATTATTCCCCAAATGACAGGCAAAATAGCTATTTTCAAAATTATGATTTAATCTAATATAATCTAAGGATATTTAATACAGATTAATAGATATAGAAAGAATTATGTAGTTCTCGTGTCTATTTATAAATGTCTTATGCTGGTGATCAGGAACCAGTGACTGGTGGATCTGCAGCCAAGGCACTTGCAATTTCCAAATTATATGCAAGGAGATGCACACTCTAGATTGAGTTTGTTTCAAGTTGTTTGCACTGGCAAGCTTTACAACGAGGATAAATCACATAATTTGTTGTACATAACTTTGTAGAGGCTATTGTACTGACTATTGACTCAGCTGCCACAATCATTGAAATGAGATGGAGAATTTTTATTTGTAGAATCTCTTATCCTACAATTCCATTTGGCCGATTCCCTATAGAAAATATTTCACCTTTCCTGTGATACCCCAAGATTTAGTCCAATATCGGAAATTGACTGAGTGATTGAATGGTTGAAATGATGGATCTTAAGAGACAAGTGTAACATTGACTATTCAATTTTGACAGTGGATTGAGTCAAATCATGCGTCCCACTCCATAGGTTACACAAGTTTCATTGCACCAACGCGCTCGCGGGCCCGGGGTGTGACATTTCCGCTAAATTTTCAGCCAGGATTGTGGCATTAAGCTATGAAAGGTTGATGGCAAAGTTACAGCAGAAAACTAGATATGTAGTTTACTAATTCAGAAACCTTCTCAAGTTAAAAGTCAAGCTCCATCACTGAACTATTTTTACAGGAGAATGATATACATTTTTGTACATCTGAACTGTGTTGAGTTAATTGTCTAGTGACAATGCCCAGAAAGACAAAAAAAGCATTCACTAACTACAGGGTTCTGAAGTGGAAGACATTATGGTCCCATTTGGCAAAGGGTTAAGGAAGAGGGATTAATGGGAATGATTAACGTAGTTAGCCCATTTGATAACCCAAATAACTAAATTATTAACCCGTAAAATAAGTTTTATTTTAGCCATTGTGACCATTTTTAGTGTTTGGGAATAACGAGGATTTTGACTATATTCTTTATAAATAGAAATTAATCTTTCTAAATAGGAATATTAGTAAATCCCTTATTTTGAGGTGTTTAACTTATTTTAATCCCTCTAGAGAGGTTAGCTCAACCCTACTGCATCTTTTACGTTTGGCAATTTGTAGAAGGTTGACTCACTTTAACCATTGTATGTATTTTTTGTTTTTGGCGGGTTAAAAAGGGGTTCAGTCTCCTTAACTCCTCACTTAACCCTATGTCAAATGACACCTATGAGGTCTTATCGACAATTGCAAGAACATAATATAAACAACATAGCATACAGAGTGAGCATCCAATGAAAGCATGCTCAGCAAACAAAACAGAAGGAAAAGTATGAAACTTAATTCCTTATATTTAAGGCCACGGTTGCATACAAAAGTGCCTACCATCACTACAAAATGGGGCCTGATATTATGAAAGGAGTACTTGCAATGTAAAAAAATTCTCATTCAGATAGTTATGAAGTATTTTTACTAATAAATACCCTTTAATTAAATATACAGTTACCTTTGAAAACCTTAAAGCCTAGAAATTTATAAGCTTGTTCAAAGTTAGGGTTTGGGGTTTAATAGATGAAAGGATCTTGTCGTGTTCGGCTCTAAGCAGTTTGGCCAGTTAAGAAAAACAATAGGAGGGCACTCGGATAACTCGGATAACTAAGTGGTAACTAGAGGAGATACCAGTAGTATAAATATGGGGAAATAACACATCTAACGCTGTTACATCCTAGAAATAATACAACATTCTCCACTGCTTTATGTCGAAGGTACAAATTCACTGCATGACTTAAGAAACCACTACCACGGACACCAGCCAATAGAGAGGTAATTGGCACAAATGACATTGATATCACATTCGGAGCCTGTGAAATAGTTGAGAGCCATTGGTTATGGCTCTGATTAGTATTAACACCTCCTCTTCTTATCTGAATGGAGACTATATCCTGCAGAAGAACACAGATATCAACTTTGAGGTTAAATCTTTATAATCCGCACATTTATATGCATCAGGGAAGAGGCTTACCTCCTTCAACTGAGTTACAAGGGATGAACTCATAGAGTTCAAGACTGCTACATTTATTTGCTGGTTAGCCAATTTTATGTCCTGAAATGTACAAGAAAGTTAAACTGGTTAAGCAGTATTGTTTAATACTGATGCTAGCGTTGCTTTTCTACTACTGTAATCCACATTAACTAGTGGAAAGCAATTTTCTTTTTCATGAGGCAACTACTTTCAGGATGTAAAAACCATATTGATCTTAAGTAACCGATACAGATTGTTTCGAGTTCCAACATGTGATCTGCATTCAACTGACAATATATTGCCACGAGTTGTACAAAAACAACATTTTGTGGAAGCAGTTTATACATTTATGAATCTACCAAGCATTATCATGTTCATTTGTCTCTGTGTTCGCAGAAATATGGGTTGGCCATGCAGGGATATTAGAAAAAATGACCAATGCAGACAGCTAATAGGACTCCCAGATGGGAAGCCATTCTTTTCAGCAGAAGCCACGAGTGTAAATATGTAATTCCTCTCCTTTTTACAATTAATTGGTGGATACTTGGAGTTAGACTATCTTTGTATTTCAGATTTGAGTATAAGCAATACAGCGCCAAGAATCTTCAAACAGGATAAGTCATTGTCATCGTTTATAACAGAAAGTGCTGCAAGTGCTAGTTAAACTACAGACTTTAAGGGAATAAAAAAACCGAGCAGTATAACCATCACATTCTGACTAGGTTTGAGTAAAGATTAAGAGGCAATAAAAAACTAATTGGTATAACATCACGCGAATCAAGACAACTAACTACTATCAGGGACATGCATAGACTCCCTCCACTAACATGATCGCAAGAACTTTTAATTCAGCACATTTTACTAGACAACTTTCATCTACTAAAAGATAGATAAACTCAACGCATTAAAAAGTAAAACTTTAGAAAGTAGAGATTTTAGAGTAAATTGGAGAATAAAAGTGGTTAAATATAGAACTATGGAGCAGACTTTACATGCTAGCAAGCTGTCAACGTAATGATAGAACTTTAAGGAAATTACCTTTAACATCATATTTAGAAGTTAGAGGAACACATAAATTGTGCAACTTACCTTCAGCCTTTTTGATAATTCAGTGTCTCCCAGAAGAGAGTTTGCATTTAAATCTTCAGAAAATTTTCCGTCTGCTAAATTTTTTAAGAGATTTTGCACTTCAGTTTGCTGAAGAGCGGAGTCCTGCAGCTGCTTAATAGATACTACATCTTTACCACCCATCTTAACCCCAACAATTACGTGGGTACCATACTTATCAATAAATCTGGAAATTGAACATAAAAGACTTTTAGGCTTGGCTCATCATAACTACATGTTAGAATGACATGAAAATATTAGAAGCGATCTCATTTTTCAGATTGCTAAGCACTATGATTTACACATCCTATTTGTGTTCTGCAGATTCATTTCAGTATACATGGCACTTGCATGAAAATGGACGCAACAAATATCGTTGTCCCACAGTTTGTTTCCAACTATATACAGCTGATTTCACTTTATGTCTTGAGGCAACTTTATGGGTGTAACATCTACTGAAATCTGAGTACAAGGTGAACAAATATTCTTCCTCTAGTAGAACTGCTAGATCCTTTTCCTCTAAATTTCTAAAAGGCTAACAGACCAGTTTTGAATACTACTCCAGTTCATACATATCCTCCGTAGAAAAAGTAGTGCAACTTAAAAGGTAATCGCGCTGCATGGAAATTAGTAACATAACCTTAAAGTTGAAACACATAATCAAGAACATTGTATATTGCAAGATTAAGCTTTTTGAAAGAATAAGATACAGAAAATAGGGCTGAACGAAATAACTTACTCTGCCAGTGCAGCAGGGTCCCATGAAGATGGAACGTCTTGCTTTACATTGTCAAGCAACACAATGTGTGCTCTTGCAAGTTCAATGCTATACAGTGTTATGAACCAACCATCAAAGGCAAGACTTTTTGTTGCAGATAAGTCCTTCTGCCAGCAACCACGGAAAGCAAACGTGGCATTGAAAAGACCAGAGGGAATTTTACCAGACAAAGAGAGATCCTGATTAAACTGCTCCGCCATCTGGAATCAAAAAACAGAGTCAAATAGAATACATTTAGAATTCTTGTCCAGCATGTTTCCAGACTGAATGCATAATCCTTTTTTTTATTCAAAACAAATTGCGGGAAGGAATGTATAGACGTCCAAAAGACTAAAAAAGGCTGATATCCAGGGATGTCTAGGTATTTATATTAACCAACTTGATTATTATTGAGCTTATATAATTATATTTAATAAAAACCATCCATTAACTTAAATGAAATCTTCCAAACCCTGTCTTAGATAGTTCAATATAAAATTCTCATTCCTCACAGTTAACTGCCTTTATATAAATCCCTCCATTCTGGCTGTCTCTTTTAACCAATGGTTACCATTCCCTCAAGAATTTCTACTTTATTAAAACAATTGCACGAAGCAAGCCCTTTCAGCGCTGAGAACCAAAACATCAAAGTAGTACCGCAATCCCATCAAGATTTGAGCTTTACTCAATCTACTGCAAAGTTCTTGCACACTAGAACAAATCATCATGGATTAAAAAAAGAAAGGATCATGCACATGCACACAATCAGTAAGCTCACTCTACAATCAATAAGCTCTCCTCCAAAACGATAATAATAATCATAATAATAATTTACTACCCCCGAAACTTCTCATTAAAATAAATCAAAGCACCTGGTGGAAAGAGAGAACATCCGATCTAAATCGCGTCCTCTCCCCTTTGTCACACCGAATCAATTTCGGCACATCACGAACAACGACACCCCCAGGCAACACGAGATCGTGCCCTAGGGTTTCATCAAGCTCGATCAATCGCGATCCCGAAGGGCTCGTCTTGCAGGAACCGAGCCTAAGATCGCCCGTGAGATCGAACCCACATCCCAGCCTCCGCTGTCATCAAGCCCGCCGGCCCCATCGAGGAAATCTAGGGTTTCTAGGGTTTGAGAGTATCCCGGGGTTTTATAAGAAGGAGGTCGTTGGCTCATCTGCGTGTCGCTTACGCTCTTCATTTCCTGCTGTCTGATTCCTCGTCAGCGAGAGCAGCTGCTTACCATTTTCTTCGGAAAGATACCTGTAACCTGAAAGCAACAGAAACGGTCCGTACGTTATACGCGTTCGGCTTGTTTGGGTCTCACTGTTATGGATCCGGTAAGGAAGCCTTCAGTTGCATTACCATGGTGGTTTTCTTATTGTCCTTTTATAAAAAAAAAATACTGTAGTAATATTATATTTTGGGGAAATTGTGTCAATGTCTCAAAAGTAAAACTTTTCATGTGTTTCAGCCCTTTTAACTTTGTCTCGTGTGGTTCAGCCCTTAAATTCGAAGTCTATGTTCTAGACTCTTTTAGCAATTATTATCTGCCAACTAAGCATAAACAGAAAATAAAAAGTAAAAAAAACCCCAAAATGTCATTATCTCCTTTATTCTTTCACGTTAAGTCTTAAATCAAATTGAATTAGACTTAACATGAACCGAATTAGACTTAAAACATGAATCGAACTAGACTTAACATGAATCGAATTAAATTAGACTTAACATGAACCGAATTAAATTAGACTTAACATGAAATAGACTTCCATGTTAAGTCTAATTCGGTTCATGTTAAGTCTAATTTTATTCCTTTTAAGTCTAATTTAAATCATGTTATGTCTAATTCAATTTGTTTCAAGTCTAATTTAATTCATGTTAAGTCTAATTCAACTTGTTTTAAGTCTAATTTCATGTTAAGTCCAAATTAATTCATATTAAGTCTAATCTAATTCTTTTTAAGTCTAATTTAAATCATGTTATGTCTAATTCAACTTGTTTTAAATCTAATTTAATTGGATTTAACATAAAATTAGACTTAAAATAAATTAAATTAGACTTAACATGAACCGAATAAATCCAATATAATTCCTTTTAAGTCTACTTTTAATCCAATTTAGTGTTAAGTCCAATTTAGTTCATGTTAAGTCCAGTTTAGTTCATATTAAGTCCAGTTTGATAAGTATTAAATCCAGTTTGTTTCGTGTTATGTCCAGTTTAAATTATTTTAAGTCTAATTTAAATTGTTTTAAGTCTAATTTAAATCTTGTTAAGTCTAATTTAAACCATTTTAAGTATAATTTAATTCATGTTGAGTCTAATTCAACTTGTTTTAAGTCTAATTTTATGTTAAGCCCAATTTAATTCATATTAAGTCTAATTTAATTCCTTTTAAATTGAATTTAAATCATGTTATGTCTAATTCAACTTATTTTAAGTCTACTTTCATGTTAAGACCAATTTGATTGTTGTTAAATTTAATTTAATTCTTTTAAGTCTAATTTCATGTTAAGTCCAACTTGATTCGTATTAAGTCTAAATTCAATTCATGTTAAGTCTAAATTCAATTCATGTTAAGTCTAATAACGGTTCATGTTAGGTCTAATTTCATATTAAGTCTAACTTAATTCGTGTTAAATCTAATTTCCGTTCATGTTAAGTCTAAATTCAGTTCATGTTAAGTCTAGTCTAATAACAATTCATGTTAAGTCTAATTTCATGTTAAGTCCAACTTGATTCGTGCTAAGTCTAAATTCAGTTCATATTAAGTCTAATAACAGTTCATGTTAGGTCTAATTTCATGTTAAGTCCAATTTGATTCGTGTTAAGTCCAATTTCAGTTCATGTTAAGTCTAAATTCAGTTCATGTTAAGTCTAATATCAGTTCATGTTAAGTCTAATTTCATGTTAAGTCCAACTTAATTCGTGTTAAGTCTAATTTTAGTTCATGTTAAGTCTAAATTCAGTTCATGTTAAGTCTAATATCAGTTCATGTTAAGTCTAATTTCATATTAAGTCCGTTAAGTCTAAATTCAGTTCATGTTAAGTCTAATATCAGTTCATGTTAAGTCTAATTTCATATTAAGTCCAACTTGATTCGTGTTAAGTCTAATTTCAATTTATGTTAAGTCTAATAACAGTTCATGTTAGATCTAATTTCATATTAAGTCAAACTTGATTCCTGTTAAGTCTAAATTCAGTTCATGTTAAGTCTAATATCAGTTCATGTTAAGTCTAATTTCATATTAAGTCCAACTTGATTCGTGTTAAGTCTAATTTCAGTTCATGTTAGGTCTAATTTCAGTTCATGTTAAGTCTAATTTCAATTCATGTTAAGTCTAAATTCAGTTCACGTTAAGTCTAATATCAGTTCATGTTAAGTCTAATTTCATATTAAGTCCAACTTGGTTCGTGTTAAGTCTAGTTTCAGTTCATGTTAGGTCTAATTTCAGTTCGTGTTAAGTCTAATTTCAATTCATGTTAAGTCTAAATTCAGTTCATGTTAAGTCTAATAATAGTTCATGTTAAGTCTAATTTTATGTTAAGTCTAACTTGATTTGTGTTACGTCTAAATTCAGTTCATGTTAGGTTTAATTTCATGTTAAGCCTTACTTGAGTCTTGATTCGTGTTAAATCTAATTTCAGTTCATGTTAAGTCTAATAACATTTCATATTAAGTCTAATTTCATGTTAAGTCCAACTTAATTCGTGTTAAGTATAAATTCAGTTCATGTTAGGTCTAATTGCATGTTAAGTCCAACTTGATTCGTGTTAAGTCCAATTTTAGTTTATGTTAAGTCTAAATTCAGTTCGTGTTAAGTCTAATATCAGTTCATGTTAAGTCTAATTTCATGTTAAGTCTAACTTGATTCGTGTTAAGTCTAATTTTAGTTCATGTTAAGCCTAAATTCAGTTCATGTTAAGTCCAACTTGATTCGTGTTAAGTCTAAATTCAATTTATGTTAAGTCTAATAACAGTTCATGTTAGATCTAATTTCATATTAAGTCAAACTTGATTCCTGTTAAGTCTAAATTCAGTTCATGTTAAGTCTAATTTCATATTAAGTCCAACTTGATTTGTGTTAAGTCTAAATTCAATTCATGTTAAGTCTAATAACATTTCATGTTAGGTCTAATTTCATATTAAGTCCAACTTGATTCGTGTTAAGTCTAAATTCAGTTCATGTTAAGTCTAAATTCAGTTTATGTTAGGTCTAATTTCAATCATGTTAAATTCCTTTTAAGTCTAATTTAAATCATGTTAAGTCTAATTCAATTTTTTTAAGTCTAATTTCATATTACGTCTAATTAAATTAGACATAAAATAAGTTAAACTAGACATAACATGATTTAAATTAGACTTAAAAGGAATTAAATTAGACTTAATATGAATTATATTGGACTTAACATGAAATTAGACTTAAAACAAGTTGAATTAGACTTAACATGAATTAAATTAGACTTGAAACAAGTTAAATTAGGTATAACATGATTTAAATTAGACTTAAAATAATTTAAATTACACTTAACATGAATCGAATTAGACTTTCATGTTAAGTCTAATTCAACTTGCTTTTAGACTTAACATGAAAGAATAGAGGAGATAAGAGCATTTTGGGGGTTTTTACTTTTTATTCTCTGTCTATGCTTAGTTGGCAGATAATAATTACTAAAAGATGGGTACAGAACATAAATATCTAATTTAAGGGCTGAACCACATGGGAAAAGGTCAAAGGGGTTGTAGCACATGAAGATTTTATTTTTTGGGCCTTGACGCAAATTTTCCTTATATTTTCTTTTAAAATATTTTCAAAACATCACATTAAGAGTTTTTAGTCAATACTAGTTTAATCCATTACAACATTAGTATTAAATATATTATTAATATATTATATATTACTTATAATAAAATATATTATAAATAAATGTTATAATATTTAGTTCACATTAAGGAAAATTGCTTCTAACCCTCAAAATAACAAAAACTATTATCCCTCATAAGACTATTTCAAAGCTCCCAAAGCCCTCAAGACCAAAGTTCCATTTCCTTTAGCCCCCAAAAGTTGAAAGTGACCCCCTCATGTGTACTTTCAAACATGTGAAGATCAAAATACTCTCACTCACTCTCTCTAGCAACCGACCTACGGATGGGAGATCCGATCATAGAAGAAGCATCATTGTAGGTATTAATGGTGATTAGAAAAGGATTTTAGAGGGAAAACACCCATTTCCCTCCAAATTCTAACCATCTTCTACCTCCCCACCCCCACCCCCCACACAATAAATCCTCTTTGCTTATCCCAACTACTCACTCCCAGACATTTAATTCTCCTCTGTAAATCCTCATTGATTCTTCAACTACTTTTCTTTAAAATGACGGATAGATCCCTCCTTTGTATGGTTACAAACACAAAAAACAACAAAGAGGGTGAGGGTGTTTTCGTAATTATCAATGAGTCTACGGAAATCATTAGCTTGAAGTATCAAATGTCCCAAAGACTTAAACTACTATTGCAATCTCTTTCGCTAAAATTCATATTCGAAAGGGAAAGAAGTTCAGTTTTGCAAATTGAAAATAATGACGATTTGAGCTTGATGTTCGAGTATTGTCGTCGTAATGGGTTTACAAACATAAACTTATATGCTACCTCCATTGGGGAATTTCTCAACTTCTCAGAATACCCAAACTTCTCCAAAAAATATGTAAGCATTTTAAAATTTTAATTTCCTTATGAGTTGGTTGTTAATGTTATGAGTTGGTTGTTAACGTTAGTAAATATTTATGAGTTTTTATTAGACTTATTAATTGGTTGTGGAGGTTATGAGTTGATTGTTAAGCTTATGAGTTGATTGTTAAGCTTATGAGTTGATTGTTAACCTTAGTAGATAGTTATGAGTTGATTGTTAAGGTTATGAGTTGGTTGTTAATCTTAGTAAATATTTATGAGTTTTTATTAGCACCATAAGTTGGTTGTTAAGGTTATGATTGGTTGTTAACATTGCGAGTTGTTTGTTAACCTTTTTAGATAGTTAATTTACATATTAAAGTGTTTTCTCGCTTTTACAGAACTATCCCGACAGAAAATTAGTGATGCACAGTTGCTACTCTCATCCAAACATGTAATTATGAGCATATTTCTAATGGCAATCCTACTGACGACTCGATCATGATAAAAGAAGACATGGTTAACAACCAAACTA